GCTAAGCGGAACAGATGGCACTGAGTGGATATAACAGCATTAATACGCCATCTTTATGGTAATTTAATTTGAACATCGAGAGCACTTAATAATGTCGAAATATGTTGATTGATTTTAAATATTTTTAATTGTTTTATGTGAGGCTTGTGCCTGATTGTGAGCTGCCCTGAGCCTGCGCTGCGGGGAGGGCGGGCTATAAACCAAATTTATAAATAAATAAATAAATAAATAAATAAAGGAGAAAGAATTAGATAGTTACATACCTCTGAGCATATGCAGAGAATTTTTCTCTCACTAATGAGCAACTACAGCCTATCCCCACCCTGCACAGAATTAAGAAGCATCTCTCAGAGTGATGGCATAGCTCCTGTTACACAGATGAAAGCTTCAGCATCCCTCTGTAGAAATTATGCACTGATCTCCTTTACATTGCCAGAAATTACAATCAGAATATACTTACCTACATTTTGCCCTTCTTCCAATGCCTTCTCTCCAAAGAAAATCTACTCTTAGTTTCCTTTCCTTCCTCTTTCTTTCCCTTGATTCAGCAGTCAGTTCACAAAAGACCAACACAGTGAAAGGAGAGACTTTTTGTTTGTTGAATGATCATCTCGATATTTTGTTGATATACGAAACTGTGATTAACGGTGAAGAAAGCTCTCTTGGACGGATGAGCTTTGGCTGGCTTTTCCTCAGTTATTGGCCTGGGAGAAAGAACTAAAAAACAATTAAAATAAGATGTGGTGTAGAAATGTTCAGAGGAAAAGAACACTGCAGATGCAACTAAAAGAATACTGTTTATGCCAGTTTGTTTGTTTTCTTCTTTGACAATGTGTATAGTTGTGTAATCAATAAGTACTTTGGGAGAATTTACCTTAATATATGGCATCAACATCCAGAAGCCAAAGGAGCATATTAAAAAGAAACAGATGTACCTGCCTCTAACTCACTATTTCTTCCTTTTTTTGTATTCTTCACTATATTCCATGGTTGTCGGTGTAGCATTGTTGCTGTGGTTGGTCATCATTTCCTCACTGTTACTGAAATATAGATCCAGGTTACTGAAAGAGAAAGTTAAGTTTTTTGTAGGAAGGTGTGCCACAGTTACCTGTTGTTAACATTCTTTAAAATTATTATAATGTGACTGAAGTGTCAAAGTACCCTCAGAGAAGCTGAGAGCCCTCCTGCATTTAGGAATTTGGGCGGCCTACTTTAAAGGGGGGAGGAGCTAAGGAGTTATACAGAGATGGATTAAGTGCATCAAAAAGATACTGAGTGGCACAAGTATTTAAATCATGCACTTTGAGTGTTCGAAGCACTTCATACACATGATGGCATGCATCTGACCATCCATGGATCACCAGGTTTTCCCTTCCACTGCAGCTACTGTGACAGCCCCCAATTTTGTTCCTGAGAATCAGCAAGCCATCAGGGGCAGCAAAGGGGGCAAAAAAGGATGTCTGCAGTGGAAGAATGGAAGAACAGGTGGAAATCACTACGTCCTCTTCTTGAAGACTCAAGTGTCAGTCTGCCTGATTGCATGCATGCTGATCTCAGTAATCCTTACAAATTAACCCTGATAAAAGGCTTTTCTAGGAGGATAATGATGGTGTTCCCTTATTGCAGATGTGGAGGGGAAGCTGAGAGTGGCATGCCCATGGCTGCTTCTAGCAAAGTTAGATTTGTATCAGGAACTTTCTCAGTTTACAGTTCATACCCATTGCCACTGTGCCGTACTACTGCGTGGCTGCAAATAAGTGAAGGCACTGAACATGGTAACAAGAAGAACAGGTAGGGGCATGTGGAAAATTTGATTTGTTGGAAAAGATTGAGAAAAGAAAGGGAATGTTCATCAGTACTTTAAGATCTCTTGGGCTGTTAGCATCATTGTGCATGTATATGAATACACTTCGAGTGGTAAAAAGAATAGACAATGCCTGTGAGATGGTCTGTTTAATTCTGTCATTTACTTCTCAGAAGTATGGTGGTTGTATTTATGAAGCAGACAGCCAGAAGGAAGTTATGGCAAGCAATGTGTATTTCGGTGTAAGGCAGTGAGTATGGAGGAGGCAAAGGCAGGTGTGATTTGGAAGCTAAATGTGAGATAAGGTGGAATACAAGAGCAGAATAAAAAGCAATAGTGATAAAAGATGAATTGAAAATGAGGGAAACGGAGGTCAGGACTCAACGTAAGGCAACAGGCATGGGAAAATTGACATAAAATGCACAAAAATGTCACATAGGAATAAATGAAAATAGTTTAGAGGGACCATGTAGCGTTGATAAAGGACAAGATGCACTATGCATTTTAAAGCGAACATTTACTTGCTAGAAAAGTAAGCTACAGAATGGAATATTCTACTGAGAATAAAGTAGCCTGCAGTCCACCCTGTTTGTCTCGCTAATCTCTGTCCTAGCTTGTCATTTTCATGTTCAACAGAATCCTCCCTTTAGATGTCTTTCATCACTTTTTCCTTCCTTGTTGCAGTGAGTGAAGGGGAGGGGGTGGATGAGAATCAGAGGTAATGGAAGAATGACACAGTGCCTTCCTGAGACAAATGGATGCTGTCTCCTTTATCCTTGGCGTTTGGCTTTCACAGACTAGCTGCAGGCATTGCCCTTAGGCGTTAAATCCCATGCAGGCCCTTCTCAGATTGCATTGCATGAGAGTTCATGGAGGAAAGCATGTGCTATGGTAAACTATCCTCAGAACCCCCTCTAAGCTGTACAGTTTTCAAGGCAAAAGAGAAGGGAAATTGCCTATTTGGGAAGTGTAGCCTCCTAATCAATGCAAAATGAGTCATTGTCAGAAATCTACCAAATCAAGCAAATATGGTGACTCCAAACTAATGTCCAGAAATTCATTTGACTTTCATTTGAGGTATTGGTGCTACACATTGTGAGACTCATAGCAGAATGGGATTTATTGGACCCAATTGCTGATGGAATTGTTGGTGGATAGTGGCCTTTTGTGAAATCAGGTCTTCAACTTGGACACATGAGGCTGCCTTATACTGAATCAGACCATTGTCCCATCAAAATCAGTACTGCCTATTCAAACTGGCAGTGCCTCTCCAGGGTCTCTGGTAGAGGTCTTTCACATTGTCTACTACCTCATCCTTTAAAATGGGGGTGCTGGGGATAGAATCTGGGACCTTCTGCATGCCAAACAGATGTTCTACCATTGAGCCACAGGCCCACCCCACCATGACTTATTGCTGAGATGAATGATGCTGGTTCTACATCAAAAGCTGGAAACTATATAAAGATGTGTCTGTGACAGGCCTTTCTACCCATACAGCCTCTTGTGATTTTGGGGGACCATGTTTATTTTAAACTGTAAATGTTACCCTACGTTACAAGATGTTATGAGGGTAGTGAGTGTAAAGGCTTTGGGTTTGCTGCTGTGAGTTAAGTTTGTGGCAAGCAAGTAGAACTTAAGAGATCACTGAGGCAGGGGTTTAATGTAAATAACAAAAGAAGATTAATTTATTTACAAGCTGTTTTTAAAGAACAGCAGCACAGGTCTCCAGATTGTCAAAGGCGAAACCTGGCTG